ACGGAGTCAGCGCCACCGTTTCTGTCTGGCAGAGACTCTGAGGCGGGCAGGGCGTGGGAAAGCTTTCCGCCAAGAAGGGGTAGGCTTCGAGGCTTCAGGTGGGCCCTGGCTGGAGGCTGTTGGCCAGCATCGCTGTGAGCAGGCACCGGGGGTGGTTTAAGGCACATACTTGGCTCTCCCCGGTTGGCCCTAAGTGGGGAGTGGGCACAGAAATTAATTAGGGAACCGAAGCTCTCGGTTATAACCAAATCCTGGCTGTTGGGGCTGGTCGCATGGAGACTGCAGTTGGGCTGCTGGCCTGGTTGCCGCGGAGAGTAGTTGGACGTCCTGGACGAGTTGCTGTGGGTGGTGGGTTGGCCTCCCGAACTGGTTGCTGCAGGTTGGGGGTCAAAGTTCTGTTTTTCAATCTGGTCTGGCCCTTGTCTGTTGGTGTACTTAGCCTCTCATCATAGAATTAACTTGCTGAGTAGATTTGCCGGTTACTCGTTTCCACAAAGATCTTAAATATGTATAATTATAAACTTACAGAAACAATCATTTAAATTTTTTTTCATCTTGAAACCCCAAGTTTTCCCAGGAGCCTCTGCCCTTGTCCTCAGAGCCCTGTTGCTTCACTGTGGTTATTCGTGCAGACCGCGCTCCTGGGTCTGCTCTGACCCACTAATTCATCGAAAATTTACTGCGTTCTGCTGCGTGCCGGGCCCTGGTGGAAGGAACCAGAGGTTAAAGACACAGTCCCTGCCTTCAGGGGGATCAGTGAGAAAGACAGGCAGGGAGACACAATGTCCAAAGTGCCCAGTTGTCAGGGTGTGGAACTGGACAGGAAATTGGTGAGGACAGATTTTAATTGGTACTGTACTGCGGCAATGGGAGGAGGGGCCAGTGTGAGCTGAACTCGGCTGGGACGTGTACAGCGAAGACTGGGTGTTTTACAAGAGCAGCGAAGGAGCGGGGTGGGGGCGGGAGGGGCTCAGCAGAGTGAGGGAAGTGAGAGATCGCAGAGTCGATCAGTGTGAGTGCCAAGCAGGCCAGCTGGGCCTGCTGGCCGGCCATCCTCGAAGCTGCGTTCGGATCTCCCGTGGGCACTGGGAGACAGAGGCCCTGTCTTCCTCATGACGGTTCAAAGGGACGGCTTTCAGGTCCTGAGCCGTAGCACGGGTGGATGGATGGATGGATGGGGACATCTCAAATGGACAGGGGAAGGATTCACAGCTGTGAGTGCTTCTGAGTTAATTCTTGAAGGGGTGGTCAGGGGCCTATAGTCAGATATTGATTAGAACAAATAGTGCTTTTGGCAGCCTTGAGCTGCCTCAGGCGGTTTCAGGGGAGGCTGGGGTTATTATCCTAGAGATGCGGCCTCGAGTTGTTAGAAACTGTCAGCATTTAAATCTTTTAGGGTGTGGGGACGGGGTTCTCAGGATCATTTGTGTCGAGAGTCCGTGGTTTTATAGGCCCGAGTTGAAAGCTGGCAGGAAAGTGGCCCAGAGGAGCCTGCCTAGAGTTCGCTCAGAGACAGAGTCTGTCACAGTGCTGTCCCGGAGGTGGGCGCAGGGCACTGAGGCAGGCACGCTTGTGCACATGTGTGTATGTATGTGTGCACGCGTGTGTGTGTGTGTCTGTCTGTCCAGGGAAGAGGGGACAGCTTGACTTGGAAGATCAAGCCCAGTAAGCCAAATGAGTCCAACTAGGGGAGGTGGGTGGGTAGAACCAAGGGCAAGTCCAGGTTTGTGGGGTCTAAAGAGCATGCATACCACTAGAGGGTCTTCCTCTAAAAGAAAGAATTACAAAATCAGGTGGAAGGCCCAGGTGGGAGTGTTCAGGGTATGCTAGGAAGGGGACTCCCAGTTTAAGCTCCTCTTGATTCACAGAAAATCTGCTTCGTGGGGAAGGTATGTCCCGGGCTGTGCGAACAGCAGGAAGGAACTCGTGGGGGACAGAGTCAGCCTGGCATGTTTAGGAAACCGAAACAGCCCAAACCTGGGTTTGCCTGCAGGTACACGAGACATAAACCAGAGAAATGTTGGGGCTCCCATTGCAGAAGGTCTTAGGGGCCATCCTCGTGTAGGTGTTGCTCGTACGTGCTTCACTCTGTCCGCTGCGAGGAGTCCCTGGGGGGGTTAGGTAGAGGAGTGACTTGACCGCTCACACATGTAATCAGTAGAGAGGTCACGCTGCAAGGGAGTGTGAAGGGGGTGATGGGCCGAGTCCGTTGAGGCTGGTTGTAGACATCGGGTAGGACAGGCCACGCCTACCCGGATCATAGGTGTGGGTCCATCCACAGAGAGCGTGGAGTCACACCTGCGACTTCAGAACGGATGCCAGGGTTCAGACGCAGAGAGCTGTTCCTCGTCAAAAGCGTTTCCAGATTGGCATTTCTCTAAGTTCAAAAATATGCTTACATTTATTTTTGTCCAAAAGAGGCCCAAGCTAGCCTCAGACTTACTTTTTGATTAATCTTGCATGGTACGTTTCATTCTTGAGGAGAAAATTCTATATTTGGGTTATTTGTCCTTTGGGATCATGCACTTAAAAAGGAATAGATTTAGCCCTGGCTGGCGTAGCTCAGTGGATTGAATGTGGGCTGCGAACCAAAGCATCGCAGGTTTGATTCCCAGTCAGGGTGCATGCCTGGGTTGCAGGCCACGGCCCCCAGCAACCGCTCATTGATGTTTCTCTCTCTCGCTCCTTCCCTTCCGTCTCTAAAAATATAAATAAATAAAATCTTAAAAAAAATAAGGAATAGGTTTAAAAACCATGATTTTTAAAATCAGGTAATTATGCCATACCTTAACGTTCACGATTCTATTTCTGCATAGAACATTTTGATACAGAAATGTCTGGAACAGTATGAGCTCTGTGTCGTGTCCTATGACAACAGCAGTGACTACTATAGGCAGAGTTTAAATGAAAAGTACATCTGCCGTTAGGTCCTGCTACTTTATACCAGGGAACTCTTAGACACCAGGAAGTTGATACTCGGTTTTGGTTTTCTTTTTAAATTTATTGACAAACCTTTGCTTCGCTAGACTAGATTCCATGCTGAGAACAAATCTGAGACGCAGCATCTGGGAAGCACAGCCGTTGAATTATCCCTTTTTCTTTATTCAAAGAAAAGAGCGGTTGTTTAGATTCGGTCTGCCTTCCTCCTGGGCAGATGAAAGCAAAGCAATACACAGAATACCTGCACTCCAATGTGACAGTGGCAGCATCTGTCCAAAATTCACTTCCATGAAGTCTAGGAATTTAGCCCTGGCTGGGTAGCTCTGTTGGTTAGCATGTTGGCCTGATACACCAAGGTTGCAGGTTCGGTCCTTGGTCCGGGCACATACAAGACTCAACCAGTGAATGTATAAATAAGTGGAACAGCAAATCAATGTTTCTCTCTCTCTCTAAAAAAAAAGAAAAGAAAGAAAAGAATAATGTACACATTGCTCCAGACTGGGGGAGATCTCAGACACCGGCTGGCGCTCTGACCCTCTGCTTTTTAAAGCAGCAGATGCGTCTTCCCACGGGAGTGACGTGTGAGGGAGGTCAGAGCTCCGGATGGGCCTTGTGCTCACCCCTCGGCGCAGCACCTGCGGCAGCTCCGCGAGCTTGTAACCGCTGCTCAGTCCAGGTCTGACATTTGTCACCTAGAGGACTGATGCTCAGCAAGGCAGTAACGTGTTTCTGTTCTCGTTGGCCAGAAATAGACCTTAATGTGCCTTCTTTCTTACTCTTTTTGGAGTAAGAAAGTGTTCTTCCCGCCATGTCACGCTGTTTTGTTTCAGAAAATGTGTGCAGACAGGAAATCAAAAGTGTGCTCATCACCAAATCTTCTGATGGCTAAGGAATTAAGCCACCGCATGTTGTGGAAACTCCTTGAATCCCTAAAAAGGTGGGGTGCAGACTCACCTGTGTGCCCCCAGCACACGCCAGGCATCGCGCAGACACTTCTGTTCACGAGATTACTTGACACGCAGGCACAGTCAACCCGCCCCGCTTCACTGGTTTGACAACACAGACGCTGGCGTTGGCTGGCTCTTCGGAGTGAGCCAGGAGATGCCCTCCGCCCCCATCGTCAGGGACATTTATTTCAAACTTGTGCCAGAGCGTCGGGCAGCTTTGAGTCGTCTGCCGCCTTTGCAGCACGTTTCTCCCTGTTTTAGAGGCCGCCTGCTTTTCTGAATTTTGATTAGAGTTGATCCAATCCAAATACACGGTTCCCAGCCAAGGGCCGGCATTGCTGCGTAAGTAAAGAGGCCTGTTGTCCTTTCCTCCTCCTGATGAGCCCCCCCCAGACCCACTGGCACTCTTCACAGTAACAGGCCGTGTCCTGGTGCTGAGTCACTGAGAGGACAGGAATCAAACCAACTGGCTTCTTTGGAAGTTCGGTTATTTTAACCATTTATAGACAAAGGGAGGTTCTGAATGCAGAAGGATGGTCCTAAGTTCGTCAGGGGCGAGGACTCATTTGTTCACTTAGATGGGCATCATGAGGAGCTCTAGCTCCGAGTCCGCCAGAAGGGTCTGGAAGGCTCCAGGCAGAGCAAGCCTTTGTGCTGGATGTGGTGGAGTGGTGGCCTTCATTCTGGAGGTGGGGGCGGGGGGGGGCCGGAGCTGGAGAGCAGCGGAGCCGTGGACACACCCAGTGGTGGAGCGGGCCCTGTGCGGCTGTGCTGGGATTTGGGTGGTTGGACGCCTGTGCAGGGCTTGGTACCAGGCTGTGCGGCAGTTGCCCCCGGGGAGTGGCGAGCTGGGGAGGAAGATCCTGAAGGCAGGATGAAAGGAAATATCCTGCAATAACTCGGGGATGGTGTAGTGAGGGCTGGAACCAGGCAGCCACCATGGAGGATGGCCCAGGACAGCCACAGAAGGTATAGTTGAGGAAAGAACAGAGCTGGAGAAGCATCAGACATGGGGGTGAGGAAAGTGAGGGCATCAAAGGTGATCCTTATATTTTGAAATGACAGTGATGCTCTTGACTAAAATGAGGGACAGACAGATGACAAGAGCCTGTGTTCGGTGAGAAGGATACAAGTTTTATTTCAAGTGTGTCGACTAACAGACCAGGTCTCGGGGTTCCTGTGCAGCCCCCTTGGAGCGCAGAGGGAAGCGATGGCTAAACCCAGAAGCCAGTCCCACAGAGACTGTCTTTAGAAAGGAGACGATCCCAGCTCAAGACGGGCCCACGTACCTTTGAAATGAGCAGCACTGGCCTTTCCTTGTATGGGACCCCCGTTCTTCCCTTGTGGAAGTAGCTGATGTTTAAAGGTGAGCATGACTTCTCACCAGACACCACACAGGCACTGCTGCATTCCTGCTGTTAGCCGTGGTTGGGTGGTGGTTGGCCTTCTTGCGGCTGATTCTCCAGCTCATGCAGGCAAGTCCTTGGGCTCATCTGGAGTCAGCTTCATCAGCTTGTCCACGCAGAGCAGGATGAGGGTGAGGAACCAGAGACTCCAGCCAACGGCAGCCGCGATCCAGCCGTACTCATCCACGCCGATGCGGCAACAGCGGGAGGCTTGCTGGCAGAAGTCCACGTCTGGGGAATAATAATAATAATAATAATAATAATAATAATAATAATAATATAGTTTGGCTTTACTAAAGCACGCCCTGTGCTATGCTAAATGCTCTACACGTGCTACCTTATTTATTCCTCGCAAAGCGATAGGTACAGGTATGATCCCCATTTTACATGAAGAATCTGAGGCTGTAACTTGCCCGGAATCACGGGATGGCAGAACTAGAACCCACACCCAAGAGTGCAGGACTCCACAGCCGTGTTCTGAACCTCTACACATTCTTGCCTGTTGTCCTGCCCCCTCAGTGAACACATTTGGTCATTCAGTGAGGACAGAAAAAAGGAAGCCAGACGTAGAACACAGCAACACTTTCTATTCATTAGACTCGTGTGGTAGTGGTTGCTGTATGAAGCACCGACCTGCTCGTGGCTGGAAGTATTCGAGGAGAGGAAGAGCAGAAACATGCAAAAGGAGTGACAGTAACGCCCCGGCCTCGGGCACAAGGGGGGCGAGCTGGGTTGTGTGGTCTTCCCGTGGTCAAACTTCTACAAGCCTTTGAGCCAAGGGGCAACTGTGGCCTCTGTCATGGGGATGGGTCTTTAAAGCCATCTGCACGGAAGGTTGTGAGCCTCAATGTTGGCCAAGGTCAAGACGACTTTTTAGACACACACTCCGAGAGCAGTTCTGGAGGCCGGAGCAAACCGCCCCAGGGCACGGGAAGGCCAGGCCGGCGTCAGCCACCCCGTGCAGTGAACAAAGAGTCAGGCCAGCTCCCCTCCCAGCCCCGGGCCAGCTCTGCGGGGAGGGCCCTCGGCAGGAACTTACTGTGGCACTGCTCCAGAGTCTCGGCATCTGGGTGGTGGTCGGTCACGGTGGAGCTGTTGCCACGGCTTGCTTCTGGAAGAAAAGGCAGAAGAGAGTCTCGGGTAGGAGGAGAAGCCCTTCCCAGGCACGGAGTGTGGAATCTTTTTTGTACACCAGTGGTGAGTATTGTGAAAGTATCATAGACATCCCAGTCTAGGCTTCACGCAGCAAAGCTCACCCCTGTTACAGCCGGAACTGTGTCCCCGCCCTCCCAAATTCGGAGGTTGAAGTCCTAACCCCCGCATACAGTCATTACTGTATGCGGGAAACGACTTTTAAAGAGGGAATTATAAAGTGAAATGAGGTCATACGTGCGGGCCCTGGCCCAACATGACTGGTGTCCTTCTCAGAAGAGGAAGACACCAGGGAGGTACTCGCAGAAGAAAAACCACGTGAGGACACAGAGAGAAGGTGGCCACCCACAACTCCGGGAGAGGGGCCGCAGGAGAAGCCAGCCCTGCTGACAGCTGAGGCTCCAGCACTGAGAGGGGATGGGTCCCTGTTTTTCCGGCCCCCCAGGGAGTGGCGTTCCGCCCTGGCAGCCCGAGCAGACGCTGCGCTCCCTTTTCCTAGCATGGTCTGTTCCCACCCAGAGATGCTTTGTCTCCGTTTGGCATTGACCTTCAGTCACCAAGGGCCTGCTATATACAGCTTTCCAAACTCTGTTTCAGCTGCTTTCTGTGCAGATAGAGACATGGAAAATGGATTTCCTAGTATATAGGAACACAGTCATTTACAAATCTGGAATGCCTTTCAGAACTAACTTCAATTCCCTTCAAAACCTCGAACAAATAGACATTGAGATCTGACCTGGATGCTTCATTTCCGACAAAGATAATGGTATTACTCAGGAAGATGGTTATCCAAAAAAGAAAAAAAAAATGACCGTACAAGGCAGTCGAGAGGTTGATAGAATATGCAGCACTTAGAATGTCCCTTCTAAATGGTTATGGGAAAAAATGCAATGAAGACTAAATCCAGAAAAAGAAGAAAGAATGTCCCGTGACTAAGCAGCACGGAACCCAGTGAGCAAGGAAACAGCAGCAGTACTTCTGAAGGTGGTGGTGTCAGAGTTTGGGGGGCGAGGTGGGCGGTGGAGACGAACGCGGGACGAAAAAGAAGAAAAGCCTGGGCCCACGCCCCCTCACAGCAGAGCAAGGGGGGAGAGGACCCCACATCTGCACTGCTTCGTAGGTCGGCCACTGGTGGCTAAGTTCATTAGAATAATTAAATTAAAAAATCCATTTCTATGCCCTGGCTGGTGTAGCCCAGTGGATTGAGTGCGGACTGCGAACCAAAGTGTCACAGGTTCGATTCCCAGTCAGGGTACATGCCTGGGTTGCAGACCATGACCCCCAGCAACCGCACATTGATGTTTCTCTCTCTCTCTCTTTCTCCCTCCCTCCCTTCCCTCTCTAAAAAATAAATAAATAAAATCTTTAAAAAAAGGTATTGTCCTATGTTTAAAAAAAAATCCATTTCTTGGTCAGATTAGCTACATTTCCAGCACTTAGTCACTGTGCGCGTCTGGTGGTCAGCGCACTGGAAGCTCCGCACAGACACACAGGATTCCCACCAGCAAACGATACCGTGAGTGCTGATCTAGGCAGAATGAGTGACCTCCTTTCCATCAGCTCCCCCCCACCCCCACCTCTTATAGTAGTCTGGGTGGATGAAGACCAAGAGCCCGATTTTGGAGACTCTTTCTGGAACCTGCATTGCAGTTCAATCTGCTTCTTAGAAAGGCCAAAAAAGAAATGGGTTCGGAAATTCTCAAGGCTCCACTAACCCTGGGTCAGCATGTCCTTCAAAGGAGCTTGGTGTCCCCGCGCAGGGCAAGTCAGGAGGAAGCTGCTTAAACTGCCCAAGCCACACAATTGCTGCTCACACTGATCGTACGCCCCCCACCCCCACCCCCGAGGTCCTGCCACGTGCTGCGCAGAGTGTGGCCATTACCTTGATGTAATCTGATGTGACTGTAAATTATTTACAGCGAAATGGCTTAGAGCTGGGTCTTTGTTTGTTTTGGAGAAATGGATTCCTCAACATTTTAATGGCCCTTGTAACCTAAATTGCTTCTCCGCCCTGGCTTCCACCTCCCCTCTCCTCTAGAACGGAGCTGGTTCTGTCTAGAGCAAGTGAGTGGAAAAAACCTAGTCAGGCGGGTGCTAGCATCCGGTGAAACCGTATGAAACTGCCATTCCCGTGGGTCAAAAAGTGTTCAGCAGTTTTATGTGGTTCAAACTGATTCACCTGGTTAGAAGTCCCTAAGAATTGAAATGATCATCCTCCCGAGCAGAGGCAGCCAGGGACTGATCCCATTTGGGGTCACTTCCAAGGTAAACACTGCTAGGAAGACCCAACTATTCAGTTACACTTGTAATGTTTTTTCTGTTTGTTTTTGCTTTTAACTTGTCAAGATCTTTGAGGCCATAGCCTAAGCAAGGCACCGTAAGGGTGAACAGAGAGGCAGACACAAAACACTCCTGTTTGGGAAGGAGTTACACTGGACAGATGAATATGTTAACATTTATCAAGTGTCTACTGCAAGCTCATTTATTCAGAGGTATTTACCTGCGGTCATCTTATTTCAGCAAGCACGGGATTATCCCCACGTTATAAATGAGGAAAACTGGGGCCCAGAAAGGGTCAGGAATTGATTGGCTCACGGCTGTGCAGCCAGGAGGCGGTGCTAGCCAGCATGGTGGGGAGGCTCCCTGGCTTTGAGATCCCACGCTCTCTGAACCTCCCCAGGAGGGACCTCGGGGATGAGAGAGGCAGCTACAGGCTGAACGAGGGGGTGGCGAGCATTGGTTTTGAAGAGGCAGACAGAGACAGAGTCAGGGAGCAGGGCTGACCTTGTTCTCAGGGGAGTTGAGGAGCAAGATCAAAGCCAAAGTCAGGAGCATGGGAGGGTAGGGGAGGTCTGTCTGCATGAGGTTCAGAGTCCAGGTTGGGACAGCCTGACGGGGTGGCCTCAACACCTCCAGCCTCCGCAAGGCAGTAACCCCACACCTCCCATGTCCTGGAGGGACCGGGGAATGATGGACAGTGTATGGCAGCTTTCGTGCATTAAGGTTTTGTGAGAGTTGCAAAGAAAGCACAGGGTTCAAGGGGGGTCAGAGGGCCTGAGGGGAGGTAACCGGGTGCAGAGGGAGCATTGCAGAGCTCAGCAGCCCGGAGCACCACTGAGAAACGGCACCTGAAACAGCACCAGGCTGATTCGGTCGCCTGATGGGAGAGGCTCTGCACATTGCTCCTCTTTCTTGGTGGCAAAGGACAACAGAGGTGGCTGCTCCTGTCCTAGCTGAGGACAGGAGTAAAGATAAGAAACCCCCCACCCGCCCTCGCCTAATCCTTCAGAGGAGAAAGGATTGTTTCCTCTCTGTGCAGACCAACCCTAGCAGAGGAATCCTCCTCCTTCCCTGCCCCCTCCCCCCTCCCTTCCCCTACCCAGTGTGGCCAAGAATAAAGCTCACAGCTCCACCTGCCAAGCAAGCCGAGTGGAAGGAGACGAGGACCAGGCAGAGGACCAGGGCGGCGGGGGGCGCTGAGGTGAGGTGCTCCATGCTGGAGAGGGAGGCTCGCGTCTGCTCCATCGCCGCGGAGGTGTGCTGAGTGCCAGGCGCCACGTGCCTGCGTGTGTCCCGTCCCGCAGGAGCTGGGAAACAGCCCTGGCAGGCAGAGGTGAATTTCTCCTCTGTTTGGGGGAAAAGGGAGGGGGTGGAGCAAAGGAAGGTCAGCTGTCACACCCTTGCTCTTACCTCTGGAGAAGGAAAGCCAAATCTGTTGGCTGGGGGTGGGAAGGGAGGGGCGATTTATGTCGGTCTTCTCTGAGCTCACCCTTTGCAGAACGGAGAAAAAGGAGGAGGAGAGGAGGTGTGTGTGTGCCCCGTGAGCGTGAGTTGGCAGCCTCGCCCGTGTGCAGGTGTGGTGCCGGATCCCCTATCCCGTGCAGCCTGCATTTACTGTGCACTTACTGTGTGCACTGAACGAAAGTCTGGGAGTCACTGCCCTCAAAGCACTCGCATTACAAACACACCACTCAAACACGGAGCTCTGTTCCGGGGATGACTTGGGAAGGACAAAGTACGCTCCATCTCAGCAGCAAGAGGCCCCATCATCACAGGTGGGACGCTTCATGAACAAGATGGCATTTGAGTTGGGTCTTGAAGGATGGGTAGTGTTTTGACAAGCAACGAGGCGAAGAGGGCATTGTAGGCAGAGGGACAGGGGAGGGAGGGCCCAGAGGAAAGAGGTACTTGGGAGCCCACTGCCCCTGGGAAAGTGTGGGCATCTGAGCAGGGGGAGGTGGGGAGGTGGGTGGAGGTGGCGCTCCAGCCTGGGGCGCCAGGCTGGAGAGTCTGCACAGATCAGGGGGCAGGTGGGGGGCTCTGCGAAGGTTGGGGGGACTGAGGGGCAGCTTGAGTGGGGCTCTGCCTTCAGCTTAGAGCATTTACTGAGTATCCACTGGGGATGTGAAGGGCATGATCCTGGGCATCTGAGACTCGAGGACGGCTAAGACACGATCCCTACCTCCCCTACTCACAGTCCAGCGGTGACCGAGCAGTGAGGAGAGAATCGGGATGTAATGCGGGAGTCACCCGCAGTTAGGGGGTAGCAAGCAGGGAGGCGCTGAATCTGCCTGAGCCCCCACCCCAGGGCAGCACTCACCACAGAGCAAGTGACATCCCCCGGCTACCCTGGGGGAGGCCCTTTTTTCTGATTTGCCCAAAGCCACACATCAGTGGTGGCCTCCTAGTCCTGGGCTTGGGGGCTGGCGGCGGAAGTGCTGCTGTGGGGAGGCTCGTTTCCCGGCAGCGCACAAAAGCCCAGTTCGGACTTACCACTGGGGTGAACATTCAGTAGTTACTGAGCAGCTGCTGTGTGCCCGGCCCTTGGGGTGGGGAACAGGGGTCCCCGGGGGTTAAGGCAACACAGTCCCTGTCCTCCAGGGGCTCTGGGCCCAGTAAGGGACATGGTCGAATGAATAAGGATGCACATAACAAGCGGTGAGGAGGTCTCAACAAATGGGAGGTTCACGGACGAGGGTTGGAGACTGGGGGACGTGGAGACTGCTTGAGAGTGGAGATGGCATTTGGACCTGAAATGCGAGCGAGGTGTCATTTACCAGGTGGGGAGCAGGAAACTGTGGCAATGCCCCCCCCCCCCAGCCCCCGAGGCCTGAACACGTGACCCTGGGAAGGGAAGTAACGGCCATCCTGGGAGCACGGGGCTGGTCAGACCGGGCGGATTGTCCTGTTCCTGCCTGGTGGACAGAGGAGACTGGACTTTGTTGATGCTTGGGACACCCTACGTGGAACTTGTGGACACCTTTGTATTTCAGAGGCTCGGAGGATAGATTCACGGGGGCCAGGCCTAGGTTCAGAGGGATCTAAGAAGCTATTGCAAAAACCGCAGCAGATCAAAAGGGCCTGAGGTAAGGGGAGGGACTGAGGGTAGAGAAGAGGGGAGCTGAGTCGAGGGGCACGTAGGAGGCCAAACCAACGGAAGGGGATCCAGGGAAAGGCGTTTAGGACTCGGGCGAGGGTTTCAGCTGTGGGGCGGCCACAAGGCCTGGGGGTGGTGGGATTCCAGCCCTGCCTCTGTGGCCCCAGCGGGTGACTTTATACATCCAGGCCTGGGGGGCTTTATCTGAAAAGTGATAGAACAGAAGCCGTCTCAGGAGTCCAATGCTTTGCATAGTGGTAGCCGGTGGTAAGTGCTCAGTGAATGCTACCTCCCACTTTCACAGAAGGGTCATCACGAATAGAAAATAGGGGAGAAAGGCGCTTCTAGGGGAAAATGATGCTGTAAGTTTATGTATTGATTTGTGGATATCCTGTCTTGTCCGAAAAAGGGTTTCAGAAACCATACATATGGTTAATGAAGCTCGGTCAAATACATTTAAATAAGTGAGAAGCAATGAGGCAAAGGGAAGGTCAGGGTAGGAGACAGGAGGAGGATCCACGAGTGGGTGTGGGGCACAAAAAGGCGCGCCTGTGTTCTGAGCCTCCTGGCAGCTGGCGCGAAGAGGGTCACACGGTCACGCCTGCGGCTCGCGGGCTCACGGGACGGAAGCAGCAGGAGAAGCACACTGCTCTCGGCACCAGAGCCAGAGAGGAATCTTCCCCGTGGGTCCCCACGGAGATGACATGACTTAACAGGATGAACATGGTTCTTGACATTTTCCTCCCAGTAAACCCTGGGGGAAGCTTCACAGATGGGGGCCGCTTTACCCAACAGGCGCCAGAGATCACAGCAGCGCCCGGGGTCTCCGAGGATGTTCAGGGGTCTCAAAGATGTTCGAGACCCGAAGGAAATGTTCTCAGATCCGCAGCAGGAACGACAATGAAACTGTGCCAACGAAAGGACTAGTTTCTTCCAAAGCAAGGCCATGCAGTTTGTTTAAGCAGAAACAATGCAATGGAGGCTGCTGGGTGTGTTTGAGTGTGTCTGCGGTGGGCAGAGCGTCCCGCCCCTCTGCGTGATCCGTGAGAGCCCGGGGCACACACGGGTTTGAAGCAGCCCTGCCTCAGGGTGCCGTGAGCAGCACCCGCCTCTCTCACCGACAGCATCACGTCTAATCACGCCAATGAGGGAAATCCCGCACCCCCTGGATGCAGAGGGCAAAGATAACCATCTGTCTCCTTTTTGATGCGTGTTATTTGATGTGGGGCTGTTTTAGGTACAGTGTTGGGAAGTCAGTCCAGAACCACGTGAGCATGCTCTCCACAGATCAAAGATTCTGCTGTCCCAAAACAGGGCGCACTCGACCGGTCTCTCGTAACTCATGGATTCCCAGAGAAAGGGCTGGATGGTGACTATTTTTACAAGTGTCACCATTATTCACAATTTTATTTTGAAAAAAAAAAACAAAAAACAGGTCCACGCAGCTGGTGACCTCACCAGGGAACTCTCGATACATTTTGTATCAGGTTTGCTTTGGAAGGCGCACCAGGAAGTTGCCGTGCTCAAAGCCGCACATTCTGCAGGAACTTTCTCAAGACGTTTTTTTTTTTTTTAATGGTTGAGACAGGTGTTTGGTTACACATACTTTTAAAAAGTCTAGGCTAAAATGTCTGTGTCCAGGCTCCTTGGAGGTGGCTGGGGTTGGCCAAGAGTGTGGGGTCCCAGGGCCCTCACCGCCTCCAGTTTTGTCTGTTTTGCCTGCTACGGTTCCATGTGAAAAAGAAGAGGAGGCAGAGTGTCTCCTGGACTGGAAGATTGAAAACCAGTGATCTGTGGCCTGGAATGGCCTCTGACTATGGGAAAGCTCTTTCGTTTCTTCTTTCTTTCTTTCTAAGATTTTATTTATTTATTTTCAGAGTGAGAAGGGAAGGGAGGGAGAGAAGCATGGATGTGTGAGAGATACATCAATCAGTTGCTTCTCACGCACCCCCCAACTGGGGACCTGGCCTGCAACTCAGGCATGTGCCCTGACTGGGAATCGAACCAGCGACCTTGTGGTTTGTAGGCCGGTGCTCAATCCACTGAGTCACACACACCAGCCAGGGTGGGAAGGATATTTCATGTTGAGGAAACTTCCCTTGTGATTCTGATAGGCCTTTCTACTACCTCTCCAATCCCTGGGCAGAGGCCACTGGGCTTGAACGTGGGGCTTGCATTTCCAGTTAAGCCACTGAGAGAAGAATCATGGCCCTAACCACACAGTGCCTGCCATGGCCTAGCTTTTGAGCTGAGATGGGAACCATGGCTCCTCTTGCACGTGGCTTTTATGTCACAAAATAGTGTCAGTTTCTAGTAACTCACGGGACCGAAACATCTAGGCCTTCACCTGAGCAGCAGTTAGTTGGTGGAGGAGGTTAACCTCACTCACTGCCACTCAGTTATGGGTCTATAACTTGGAGAGAATGAGGAGTATCCATGTGAGAGAAATGGAGAGCTACACAGAGTTGAACTTGGAGATGGTGCCACAGAGTGGATGAAAGTAACAAAGTGGACAAGCTCGCAGCCCACCCCTCGGAACCATTGCTGAGCAGTTCCCAGAGTGATTCATTCGTCTTGCACTTAATCCACTATTGCACTAGGGGGCGCTGGGGCCACTGCCTGCATTGAGGTGGGTTAACAAGAAGAAGGGGACGTCCTCCTGGCTAAGGCCATCTTCCTCTTGGGCCCTAAGTCTCATCCCCTTGCATCTTCTCACAGGTGTACTTCTTAATTTCCAAACACGGAAGTGTAGTTGTGGTTATTGATTTCTAGCTTAACTGCATTGCCATCTGCAAACATATTTGGATGATTCTATTTTTTGATATTCATTAAGAACCAACATATGGCCAATTTTTGTAAATGTTGGTGGCACTTGAACAGAGTGTGTCATCTAGTTCTGGGCCTCAATATTCTGTGTAAGATAAGGGCGCAGATCTATATTTTTCCTGTGTTTTTTTAAGAAATTGGTCCCTTTAGTCTATTGAATAAAGACAGAGGACTGGATTTTTCTCCTTTCCTTGTAGTTTTTTTTCTGTTTCTGCATTCCGTATTTGAGGTTGTAATTAGGCCTTATTCAAATACAGAATTATGACACCTTTGTGGTGCACTGAGCCTTCTTTAAAAAATTGTTTTGTAATATCCCCCTGCGCTGTTGGTTTACAATAAGAAAT